TATATATATATATATATCAAACCTTTACGTGTATCGGTCAATGCCGCCTCTGTCACATACTCTCGTAACTACGTCGTCGTCATTTTTTATTTTTCTCTCTCTCTCTCTCTCTCCCGCGCTCATAGTCTCACTGTCCTTTGGTGTCCCGATTTCCATCTGCATGCTGAAGAGTTCTCGCTTTCTCTATGAAACATAGATGAGGAGCGCCATCCCACTCGGTGAATTAATGTCCATAGACGACCCACACTGCTCGGTGGCATATTTCAAATCCAACCGTGCTGCAACATGACCTGCTTTCTGCATCATTCTAGTCAATGTGGCTGAGCCAGCAAAGAGCTCGATGACTGTAAGCTCCTAGGCTGACTGCAGCGAAAAGCAAACCCGAAAGCAACAATGAGGGCCCGTCTCCTGCCTTGCCGTCGCAGAAGAGTCGGGGTGTCGAGGATACCAGAAGGACGGCAAGCAGAAGAACCTCGGAGAAGGCCGTGTTGGGAATCGTTGTGCAGACTTCAGGGTATCAGTCAAGATCGAGGCACCTTCGGGGATCCCAAGACGGCAAGACGCCATAGTAGTGCGCTTGGGTCGGTCATCGCAGGGCTGGCTGGGCTACCACACAAACACTCAGTTCGGATCACCAGGAAATAACCATCGAGTGGACAGTACACACATGGATGTACACACATGCAGGAACAGGTCGTCTGAGCCAACCGTGGCTTTGCACAGCACAGCAGGAGTGGGAACGACGCACAAAGCTGAGCCCCGTGAACAAATTGCAACAGATTAAAGCCCATCTTGAGCAGACCAGTCTAGAACCGAATCGTGATTCTGAAGCTGGAACAGTGTGAAGTCCACTAAAGCAATAGAACCGCCTTCCTCATCGCTGTCATCTAGCAGGCCGCGACGAAGTGCCCAGAAGTTTCCTTTGCCTGCTCTGCGACTCGGCATCGACTTCTAACCTTGGGCTTGTTGATTGTGGCAGTTTATGTGGGCACATGTGGTGTGATGAATAGCATGCATGCAAGTAGAACACATGCAGGACTGCCATTTTTCCAAGCGTTCATCGGGTGATGGGATGCGGCACTAACACTGGAGCTTTGCTAGGGTAACAAGCTCAGCGAGCTTGCTTTGCTGCGACCCCAAAGTGCAGCGACTGCTTCTTGCAATCCACCTATGGCCTGAAGATCATGATTAAACTACTTGCATTTTCATAAATGCATGGAAGCAGTCTAGCGCACCAAAAACTGTGGACAGACATTCAAGACCAGAAGACGGGCACAGATCACACGGTCATATATGTAGCATCAGCGTACAAGTCCCAGCACAGGACAGTGTATTGTAGTAGCTCTCGGCCAGAATATATAATATGACTACATTGATCTCTGCATGTCCGCGTACATCCTATCTTACACTATGTAGTGCATTTTGTGTATGCATGCATGTATGTAATATGTGTGTGTGTGTGTGTGTTTTGTTTGGTTGCAATGTATATAGGGGAAGCATGCAAATATGTTCACAAAAGTCGCATGCGTAGGAGCAGCGTGTGAATTTATAGAAATTGTTTGCATGTTTCGGCTTGTGCAGTAGTAACAGTATAATTCTAGCAGTGTATGTGTATATATATATATACATATAGACCCATGTGCTTGGGTTGGAGTGGGGTGTATGAGCTTATGCTATCACGTGCTGGTTGTATACAAATATACCATGCATATATTAACATGTGTATATATATATA